CTGTGTGTGTGTCTGTGTGTATATATGTGTGAGTATGCGTGTGTGTGTGTGTGTGTGTGTGTGAGGGGGGGGCATGTCTCTGTATGTGTGTGCATGTGTGTGTGTGTGTATGTTTTTGTGGGTGTGTGTGTGTGTATGTGTGTGTGTCTCTGTGTATATGTGTGTGTGTGTATGTCTGTGTGTGTCTGTGTGTGTGTCTGTGTGTATATATGTGTGAGTATGCGTGTGTGTGTGTGTGTGTGTGTGTGAGGGGGGGGCATGTCTCTGTATGTGTGTGCATGTGTGTGTGTGTGTATGTTTTTGTGGGTGTGTGTGTGTGTATGTGTGTGTGTCTCTGTGTATATGTGTGTGTGTGTATGTCTGTGTGTGTCTGTGTGTGTGTCTGTGTGTATATATGTGTGAGTATGCGTGTGTGTGTGTGTGTGTGTGTGTGAGGGGGGGGCATGTCTCTGTATGTGTGTGCATGTGTGTGTGTGTGTATGTTTTTGTGGGTGTGTGTGTGTGTATGTGTGTGTGTCTCTGTGTATATGTGTGTGTGTGTATGTCTGTGTGTGTCTGTGTGTGTGTCTGTGTGTATATATGTGTGAGTATGCGTGTGTGTGTGTGTGTGTGTGTGTGAGGGGGGGGCATGTCTCTGTATGTGTGTGCATGTGTGTGTGTGTGTATGTTTTTGTGGGTGTGTGTGTGTGTATGTGTGTGTGTCTCTGTGTATATGTGTGTGTGTGTATGTCTGTGTGTGTCTGTGTGTGTGTCTGTGTGTATATATGTGTGAGTATGCGTGTGTGTGTGTGTGTGTGTGTGTGAGGGGGGGGCATGTCTCTGTATGTGTGTGCATGTGTGTGTGTGTGTATGTTTTTGTGGGTGTGTGTGTGTGTATGTGTGTGTGTCTCTGTGTATATGTGTGTGTGTGTATGTCTGTGTGTGTCTGTGTGTGTGTCTGTGTGTATATATGTGTGAGTATGCGTGTGTGTGTGTGTGTGTGTGTGTGAGGGGGGGGCATGTCTCTGTATGTGTGTGCATGTGTGTGTGTGTGTATGTTTTTGTGGGTGTGTGTGTGTGTATGTGTGTGTGTCTCTGTGTATATGTGTGTGTGTGTATGTCTGTGTGTGTCTGTGTGTGTGTCTGTGTGTATATATGTGTGAGTATGCGTGTGTGTGTGTGTGTGTGTGTGTGAGGGGGGGGCATGTCTCTGTATGTGTGTGCATGTGTGTGTGTGTGTATGTTTTTGTGGGTGTGTGTGTGTGTATGTGTGTGTGTCTCTGTGTATATGTGTGTGTGTGTATGTCTGTGTGTGTCTGTGTGTGTGTCTGTGTGTATATATGTGTGAGTATGCGTGTGTGTGTGTGTGTGTGTGTGTGAGGGGGGGGCATGTCTCTGTATGTGTGTGCATGTGTGTGTGTGTGTATGTTTTTGTGGGTGTGTGTGTGTGTATGTGTGTGTGTCTCTGTGTATATGTGTGTGTGTGTATGTCTGTGTGTGTCTGTGTGTGTGTCTGTGTGTATATATGTGTGAGTATGCGTGTGTGTGTGTGTGTGTGTGTGTGAGGGGGGGGCATGTCTCTGTATGTGTGTGCATGTGTGTGTGTGTGTATGTTTTTGTGGGTGTGTGTGTGTGTATGTGTGTGTGTCTCTGTGTATATGTGTGTGTGTGTATGTCTGTGTGTGTCTGTGTGTGTGTCTGTGTGTATATATGTGTGAGTATGCGTGTGTGTGTGTGTGTGTGTGTGTGAGGGGGGGGCATGTCTCTGTATGTGTGTGCATGTGTGTGTGTGTGTATGTTTTTGTGGGTGTGTGTGTGTGTATGTGTGTGTGTCTCTGTGTATATGTGTGTGTGTGTATGTCTGTGTGTGTCTGTGTGTGTGTCTGTGTGTATATATGTGTGAGTATGCGTGTGTGTGTGTGTGTGTGTGTGTGAGGGGGGGGCATGTCTCTGTATGTGTGTGCATGTGTGTGTGTGTGTATGTTTTTGTGGGTGTGTGTGTGTGTATGTGTGTGTGTCTCTGTGTATATGTGTGTGTGTGTGTGTCTGTGTGAGTATGTGTATGTGGGGGGCATGTCTCTGTATGTGTGTGTATGTGTTTGTGGGTGTGTCTGTGTGAGTGTGTGTGTGTGTGTGTGTGTGTGAGTTAGGGGCATGTCTCTGTATGTACATGTGTGTGTGTGTGTATGTATTTGTGGGTGTGTCTGTGTGTATATGAGTGTGTGTGTGTGTGTGTGTGTTAGGGGCATGTCTCTGTATGTATGTGTGTGTGTCTGTATGTGTTTGTGTGTGTGTCTCTGTGTATATGTGTGTATGTGTGTGTGTCTGTGTGTGTATGTGTGTGTGTATGCATGTGTGTGAGTGTGTGTATGTGTGTGTGTATGTCTGTGTGTATCTGTATATGTGTGTGTCTCTGTGTATATGTGTGTATGTGTGTGTGTGTCTGTGTGTATATGTGTGAGTGTGTGTGTGAGTGGGGGGGCATGTCTCTGTATGTGTGTGTGTGTGTGTATGTGTTTGTGGGTGTGTCTGTGTGTATATGAGTGTGTGTGTGTGTGTGTGTATGTGTGTGTATGTGTTTGTGGGTGTGTCTGTGTGTATATGAGTGTGTGTGTGTGTGTGTGTGTGTGTGTGTGTGTGTTTGTGGGTGTAGTCAACATGAAGATTATTTGATTATCTGTAGGGAACATCCACTCTAAACTGGCACCACACCTCCTGGTGGCCAAGACAGAGGACATGGAAGAAGGAGGCTTGGTGTTTGTTTTGTTTTTTCTGTTTTCCCTCTCACACTGTCAAGTTCATGTAGCCTGATGCTAAGGCACTCCTCCACTGGAGTCAGAACCCATTTCTTCAGGTTTCTAACACAGCTTAGAGACCAGAAACTCTGTGGAATCCTCCTGGACCCCAGCACAGACTAAGTGCTCCAGGCTCATGGACTAAACAACTAAGACTCTCAACCTTTCTGTAGAGAAGTAGTTATTGTTAGGATATCTGGACCTCAGCCTGTAATCCAGATTAATAAATCTCATAATAAACCCCTTCTATATGTTTGTTCTGTCAGTCCCGTTCCTTTAGAGAACCCTGACCCCAAGCTAACCCCAACCTTCCTGAGCGCTGAGGTAGCATTCATGTACCACCATACCCAGTAAAAACACACAGATTCTTCTGTGTTCCTTTAGATTTGTTTATTTGCTTTGACTCCATGAGTGTTTGTTTGCATGTATGCATGCTCACCGTGTGTGTACAGTGCCTGCACAGATCCCCTAGATGACTCTGAGGTAACAAGTGAGTGCTGGGAATCAAACCCTCATCCTCTACAGGAGCAGCCAGTACCCTGAACCCCTGAACCATCACTCAAGCCCTTCCTCTGTGTTTCCCATAGGTCCCCACGTTGGAACTGACTACGGACATCGCAGAGTCTACAGAAATCAGTTCAAATTGGAACTTCAGATACCTGCAATGTCTGCCGCTCCCATTTACCATAAAGATGGCTTCACTTATGGGTGACTGACAGTTGCTAAAAAGAGTTGGAGTTTTCTTAATTTTGGATTGACTTTTTTGAAGCAAATCGTGATCACTTTTCCTCGCGAGTGTTTAAAGAGCATTGAATGTTTCAGAAAGGAAAATAAAAGGCTACATGGCTCTTCTGCATGGATTTCAAAATTCTATTATAAAATTAATGGGAAATATCTGCGGTGACTATTGAGGCTGCTATAAAGGGGAATGTACCCGCGGTAAGTTGCCCGCCTTCCTGGGGACGCCTAGCTATATGGCAATCTAGATCCTGCATTTCCATAAGCCTTCCAGCACCGAATGAACAAACCCCTTGATAGAACCCCTGGTGTTTAAAAATTTTCCCATTTAATATACATATTGCTGCCCACGTCATTGTTAGGTGTGGCATAGAAAGTAGCATTCCATATGTATAATTAAACCCCAAAGATGAAGGAGATACAAACACCAAAGATGAGGGTATTATTTAAAGGAAAAAAAAAAAGAAAAGAAAGGAAAGTTCAGTTCTTTTTGAAAAAGCACTCCAAAATGAACAGAGTAAAATAAGTGCTTGGTGATCAATCCTTTCCAAAGGCCCAAGATGTTGACAGTTGGAGTCTTCCATGCTAATGGCACCACTGGGCCTGGGCTCTACTAAAGAAGGTCACAGAGACTCTACATTAAAATAAAAAAGTAAGATGCAATGTTTGTGACTTGCTTGATGACAGTGCTGTGCTGAACCATGATAGCTACATATGAAGGAATTTAAAAAACACGTCTGTGGGTTGGGGAGATCTCTCAGTCAGTATGACACTCACTGTGCAAGCAAGTGTGACAACTTGCATGCAACTCCCCAGAACCCATGAGAAGAGCTGGGTGTGGTAGTGTAAGCTTGGAATCCCGGTGTATAAGCTTGGTATAAGCTTGCAAAAGCGTGGATAGGTGGGTCTATGGGACTCCCTGGTCAGCAAGCTAGGCTTACTGGTGAGCCACAGACACCAGTGAGAGATATCTTACCTTGAAAAAACCAACCAAACAACAACAACCAAACCAACCAAACAAACAAGACTGGGGGCTGGGAAGATGGCTCAGCAGCTAAAGCGCTTGCTACTCCTATAAGGACCCAGGTTCAGTTCCCAGCACCCACACGGTGATTCAGAACTGTGCATAATTCCATTTCATACATTTGACATTTCTTCTGGCTACCACAGGCACCAGGTGAAACGTGCATGCAGGTGAAACACTCGTATACACAAAAATAAATGTTTATGAAAGAAAATACAGGGTGGGCAGCTCCTGAAGTTGATCTCCAGTGTCCACATACAGGCATGTGCATGCACATACCCACATTTAATAACATGGTGAGTGTGTGTACACACGCGTGCACACACACCCACTCTCACACCCACTCTAACACCCCCCACACTCTCTCTCACACACACACTCACATAAACCAGAACTAGCTGCACGACAGGCTTTGTCGTGGCACGAGAGGGGTGGGGGGGACAAGCAGCCAACTCAGCTCTCACCCGAATGCTTCAGGTTTCTGGCCTTCTCCTCTGAGCTCTGGTATTTCTGTTCCAGCTCTCTCTTGTCTTCTTCCAGAAGCTCCAGCTGCTGTCTGAGGTTATGGATCTCTTTGTGTAGTGCTTCATTCTCCAGCTGCTCCTCTAACTCTTTGACCTGTAAGTTTTACACAGCTTGAATAGGGCTGATATTCCTCCCCCTTGTCGATGAAAATGGGGAGGGAGATGAATATTTTCACTTGGCTTATTTTTTTCAGAGCAGAAAGATTCCCGTTCACCTTAAAAAACCACACAATTTCTGGGTCTCAATAACCCTGGTTAATTAGCTATTAGCTACCTCACTTTCTATGAGTTTTACTGAGCAGTTGGTTATAGAAGTCACAAGAGTAAAATAGTATCTAAAACTTATTTTAAAACAGACACATTACTTCTTTTTTTATTGTTGATTTTTTTTTTTTTTCCGAGACAGGGTTTCTCCTTATAACAGCCCTAGCTGTCCTGGAACTCGCTTTTTAGACCAGGTTGCCTCTGCCTCCCAAGTACTGGTTTTAAAGGCATGCACCACCACCACCCTGCTAGACACATTATTTCTATATCCTTTTCCAAGAGGAAAAATTTGGTAATATTTTTAAAAGACTGCTGGGACTCATGGGAGTTGGACAGGGAGGGAGGCAGAGGCCCTTTTGTCAGTAATGGCAGTTTTTTTAAAAAGATATTTTTATATGTATTTGCCTGCATATATGTGTGTATACCACATGTGTAGAGTTTCCTGAAGGCTAGAAGAGGAGTTACAGATGGTTTGTGAGCAGCCATGTGGGTTCTGGGAACTGAACCTGGGTCCTCTGAAAGAGCAGTAAATATCTTAACTGCTGAAGCATTGGTCCAGTCCCGATAGTAGGACTTTCATGTATTTGTGACTAAGTGTTCCAACACTTGCTTAGTACACACAGGGCTCTGGATTCATCCCATAGCACTTAAGACTAGCCAACCAACAGTGGTGAGCCTTAGGAAAATGTGAAAACACACCCCTAAAATGTTTTCAAAAACCTAAGAATAACCTAAACATCCACCAGCATTATTATTTCACAAACTATATGAAGGAAACACTATACAGTCATATAAAACTATATAGTTCAGCTGGTGTTGATGGTGCACGCCTTTAATCCAAGCACTCAGAAGGCAAAGACAGGCAGATCTATGAGTTTGCAACCAGTCTGGTCTACATGGTGAGCTCCAGGACAGCCAGGGCTACACAGAGAAACCCTATCTAACCAAAAAACAAACAAACAAACAACAACAACAACAAAAAACCCTAAAAACAGCAACATAAACAACCCACATAGCTCAATACATACTTAGATGAGAAGATATATTACCAACTGGAAAATGTTAAAGAAAGTCACGCATCACGAAACTCCACTTAAACAAATCATATATACATCATAAAGCCATGTATTTATATAGCCTTTCAAGCTGCCCAAAAATATACACCTTGGATTCTCAGGTAATCTTAATTTTCTTTTACTGCTTTTACATTTAAAAAAAAAAATGTGTGTTTACTATAAGGAACATACATTATTTTATAAAAGCAAAAGCAAAATATCTGTGTTTTAAAAAGTAATGAGTCTATGAGGGAATTTGTGTTCAAGTAGGAGATACTTTACACCACACAGAGTAGAGAGTGATGGGGAAATATCCTTCTGTATGCTGTGAATATATGTTTCTCTTATTGGTTGATGAATAAAACTGTTTCAGCCGATGGACTGGTGGGATCTAGCCAGGCAGGAAATCCAAACAGGGATAGAGAAAGGTGGTAGGTGGAGTCAGAGAGAAGGCATGCAGCTGCTGAGGAAGCAACAGGCCTGGGTATCACCGGTAAGCCAAGACCATGTAGAGATACACAGATTAATAGAAATGGGTTTACAATTAAGAGAGTGCTAGCCAAAAGAAACCTGAGCCATCTGCCAAACAGTTTATAATTAATATAAGCCTCTGTGTGTTTATTTTGGACTCAACAGCTATGGGAGCAGGCAGGACAGAAACTTTCATCTAAACAGAATAAAATGATTAGGGCAGGACAAAGCCTGTAGAACCAGTAATTGCTGTAGTTTCACCCACAACGACCTCTGCTCCTTTGTCAAACAGGAACACAGAAAACAACTCAGTCCTAAAGTTCAGTTCAATTTGTGAACTCCAGGCTTGTATTATCTACCAACCAAGTTAACAATTATAGTTTGTCTTCTCAGGACCAAAAGATAATATTTGACACAAGCTAAACACACACACACACACACACACACACACACACACACACACACACACTCACACCCCACCCACAATACCCAGATACCACATTCATAGATACCACATACATACTTACACATACCACACATATTTACATATACAGAGATACCACACACACACACACAGACACATACTTACACATTCCACACATACTTACATATACAGAGACACCACACACACACACACACACTTACATACACATATAGACTACACACACATACACACACAGGGACACCACATACATACTTACACATACACACACACACACAGAGAGACACACACACACACTTACATACACATATAGACTACACACACATACACCACATACATACTTACACATACACACACACACAGACACCATACACATACTTACACACCACACCACACACACACACATACTTATACACAGATCTCTCTCTCTCTCTCTCTCTCTCTCTCTCTCTCTCTCTCTCACACACACACACACACACACACACACACACACACACACACACTCTTACTGAAAAGGTGATTCCTGAATGTGGGAGTAGAAAAAGAAATTTTTCACCTGTAGCCTTGGGGAGCAGGGGTTCTGTGTGCATCTGCCAACACTTCCCACTGAGGAAACAGAACCCAGCTTGACCTTACTGCTAGATGTAAAACAGAGTCAGAAGTACAGAGGGTCATGCACAAGACACTGACAGGGAAAAGTCAGTTGCCGGTAACAGCCTTTCCCATGAACGAGGTCGCCATGAGGACCCACAAATACTGAAGCCACTGTTCCAAAGTGGCTCCTGTAAGTCTTCTCCCACCTCCTCCCTCTCTTCTGCCCTACAGAGGGACCTGGGCAGCACTGGCCTGAAGTGTTCTACTCCTGAACAAAGCACTACAGATATCTACGCAAGGCTGCATGACCACAAACTGTACCTAAGAAAGCAATTACTAATGACAGGTTTTTCTTTCCCTCCCTCTCAGAATAAGGCCCTATGTCCCCCGAGAAGCTCTGCAAAACCAACACACTCTCCTGAGTGTATCCCGTCTCTGAAAACCACATCTTTCCAAACAGACTTCAAGACTACAAACTGCCCAATACACTCTGAGTCCTATCCTTTCCCTTGCTTCTCCAAACTCATTCTTAATGATCGATTTCCTGATCATTTCAAAGACTCCATGACAGTGTGCTATAAACTGTGGCTGAACAGTACATTAAATTCCCTTGGTAGCTGTTGTTTTCTCAAAGGTATTTAGGACTTAGTCAACAGGCAAAAAGATGGAACTCTAGAAAGCCATACTAGCACCTCCTGTTTTAATGTATGGTTGTAAGCTGATTATACATGTGCGTGAGTCTGTGGTGTGTATGTGCGTATGATGTGTCTGTGTGTGTGCTTATGTGTGTGCGTGTGTGATGTGTCTGTATGCACATGCATGTATGTGTGCACATGGATATTCATGCATGTGACGTGTGTACGTGTGTATGTGATATGCCTATGTGCACACATGCACACATGTGTGACGTGTCTGTGCATCTGTGTATGCGTGTGCACGTGTGCACATATGTGTGCCCACAATTCCAGAGTAAAATCAGTTACCTTTTGCTTATGCTGGATCCTCTCTCCTTCGAGCAGCTGGATGAGTTTTGAGTTCTCGTCTAATGCTTTCAAAAGCTGCTGGTCAGGAAGGGCGCTCTGCAGCAGAAGGTGGCTTTGTCTCTTCAGCTTGTTTTGTTCTATGAACATCTGCAAAAGTTAATTACAAACATGTATGCACCAACCCAGCCCATGCAGACCCCCAGTGCAGCTCAAAGGGCAGTGAGTGCAGTACCTGAAGAGCC